AAGTCCCATTTTCCAATGCTGCTTGCTTTTCTTCCTTGACAGCAGTTTTGAGCTCTTTTGGCATCGGTATTTTGTGCTTCAGAAACGGGGCCGCGTATATGGTAGTCGTTGATATTCTCCTAGGCTTCCAATTCGGATTTATCTTTTGGGTCATCGAGAACGTTTTCTTTCCTTGATTGCCATCTTGCACCAGCTTCCGGGTTGGCGTCGGAGTTTCCTGCGTCCAAGCAAGAAGGAAGACATTGAGAAAATAAAACCAGAATGCAACTACATGGATAGCTCCAGGCATGATGCAAACCGAATGCCTGTTGAAACGTTGGATTTCTTACTTGGGTCTTCCCCGCAGGCAGGTAAGATCCAGATTGACGAAGACCTGAAAATGTCGAAGTGTCTAATGGAAGACCCAAGGCTTCCAGACGTGTCGTCTGTTATCGATTGCTGGGCGTCAACGCCGTGGATATCGATTGCAAGCCTATACCGAATTATTATGGAAACAATGATTATCTTCACCAGGGTCCTCACAACTGATGGCGAAATCGAAAAGATGGAGAAAGTCTAGTCTATGGCCATTTGGACGAGGTTCTGGATCATGAATTAATTAAGCACAATTAAAGATGTTGCGGACTTACTTCAGACTTTATCCACAACCGTAACGAAACAATTATGGAAATTCAGCCCACCGGGTCCTTGGCGACGGTTTTCTACAATATCGAACGGCACCAGAAGCCTCATTGTTGGGCTTACTTTATTGATGTTGGTTGATGTGAGGCAAGGCGGGGCACAGCTTGATATTGATATACGGAGGCACCAACATGGTTACAAGTCCGGAAGATGGTATCCTTCCGCAAAAAGACGTGTTCATTTCTGGAAAATCGGACGCCAACTAATTTCTACAGCCTGTGAGATATAATTCTCTGGTGGCGGTTTCGGCTGCTACTATCAGCCAGAGTCATCAACTCGTATCTAATATGTACGGTATTTAGGCAAGGTTGAATGCACAGTGGCAGGGTATCTCCTTTAGGCGAGGTAAACCAAGTGGTGGCAACCTCAGACAATAATTTACTTCTTACAAAACCGCAATTGTTAAAGGCACTTACAATTCTATTTGCACTATATAAAGCTTCGATACTTTCGTTAATGGCGCCTTCGTATAGAAATTTCATTGCGCACTGCTACGTTCTGTGCCGCCAGGCGGCTTCATGCAAGTCGACGTGAATTTCAATATATCGAAGAATCACCAGCAGAATGTTTGCAGATCAAAGTATAGTTTTCAGAACAGAACATGACCCTTTCATATATTGTTTATGACCTGAAACATACGTCATCAATCAAAATATGGAAGGTTGGTATTCAAGTGAAGAATCCTCGGACAAGGATGTTGCACGTGATGCCGGTAAATACCCAATTCAACTTTTTGCCATTCCTCACCGTCTGCACATTTCTTTCCTCTCAATTTCTAGCTCCGCTCTTGTCTAAACTTCCATTTCGGTTCAGGAGCGTTACGCGTGTTAAAATTAACCTCCGAGGTCACAGTATTGCTTTGTAACGTTCATGATGGACAGCAGAGGATCGAACAAATTCCCATGCATGCCACCCTCCATTCTATTTGTTGTCTGCGCGATCGTGCGAATCGCACGCGTTGACCTTTGGTCCGTGGTGCAGATGGATGACTTTTTAACTTTCATCCTTCACAGTGCGTTGCAGCGTTGTACTTTGTGGGTTGCCCCTCCTTGTGTTAGATCAAACTAGAAAACTCGATGCTGTCTTCGACGCATGAATCAACTCGACGTTTCGATTTTGCGATTTCCTGGCCAGACGGTAAGTTACAATTCAATTTCCATTCATTATTCATTCGAGCAGGGAGATAAGCAATGATTGATGATGGGACTACAAGTATTTCTACTTCTTCATGTCATCTCCAATGAATGTGTTTGCGACGGTGCACCCGTATTCGGAAACAACAAGAAAGCAACGCAATGACGAAAGCCGCAAGCTAGAAATGCACATGTGAGCCGCCAACCAGCCGCCCAGCAGTACTGAGAGCGACCAAGTGATGGATAATTTAGTCCTCAAGCTCACAACATCCGCCCTAAATATATCTCCTGAAGGAGAGAAGAGAGCACAATGACTCTTCCATCCAATGTAGCGAAGTTTTTGGTGATACATATTATCTTCACCAGCCTAACGATATCTGCTGTTGCCATCAGACTTTATGCAAGGCTTGGAATATTGAAGTATGGAGGTCGAGATAATCTTATGATAACAGTCTCTATGGTATGCAGCGCTTCGAGAATACTACTTGGCCTATTTCTGGAAACTTTCATGCCCAAATACTCACAATTCGATACAGCTATTCTCGATTGCATACCAGACTTTTTCGATCCCAAGGTCATGTTTCGTGGAATTAGAGCGAGTAGCCTGAGTCAAGAAGCTTGGCCACAATATTAGCTACCGATGCTCGATTCTCTATCACCCATTGCTGACTACTAAACTTGCTGGTGGAAGTATCAAAAGAAGGTTATCTTGATGTAGATGGTTAAATATACCCGATTGGAACTGAATCATGGACATTTCGAACCTCTGCTCAAGCGCGCGCAAGCCTATCTTTTTCTTCTTTTACGACTGGCTCCATCGCATCCGAAGCTCGGTAACACAAACCTCGAAAGTACCAACCTGATCCCATAGGATTATTTTGAGTTTCTTCCCGTATCTCATCGATCAGAAAAACACGCGCTTCGAGGTCAAAGTCTTGCGATACTTTTAACGGTGTCTTGGTATTCTAGCGATCTCAACCAAACGGATTTTGTATTCTAGAATTCATCTGACATCTGTCATTTGTCTGAACTTTTTCTTCGATCTTGAGCGCGGCATGCGTGCCACATCAAAGCTAGCTATGCTTACAGTAGACAAAAATACCGCTAACCTTACACATCTCCAAGTCATCCTCAACCTTACTAAAAAGCAGGCAAAAAGAGGAAAAGGACCAAACGGGAACAGCGCTCAAACTAGCAAAGGTATTCTTGATTCGTATCCCACTGCAACGCGTTATCTGTTATTCAAAACAATTTACAGTTGAACATCAGGTTCGCGTTCTTAGGTCACCACGAGCCATGATGCGCGGCATCGGCTGGATATCCGCAAGTAGCCTACATAGAATCGAGTCTGGGTTCACACATGAGTTTTTGGCTTCCCCGTGAAATGAAAATGCCAAGGGGATCGCCAAAAGCCTCATACTTGTCTGTTACTCACATATAAAGGTTCAAAGGGGCCTGCGACCCGGGTTTTCTTTCCTGGTTTTTCTGGGATGCTGAGTTACTTGAGCATCAAGAGTACGGGTGCAAACGATGACACAAAGCCTCTCTTCTGGCGCAATTAAGTCAATAACAATTGACAGTATATTCACATCGTCAGCTACCTTCTTTGTCAGAATAAGGTTCATTGCACACTGGGGAAATCTCAAGCAAGGAGGTCACGATGATGTTGCAATTTTTGTTGCGATGGTGGGTTCTCCCATCAGTGAATGGTTTTCATTGACATAAATAAGAGTACCCCAGGTGTAACACCACTAACATAGAGGCAGCTTATGGCTTTCACTCTTTTTGCTATGGATATAGCTCGTAAGTTTACAGTCCCAGAAGTTGATGGCCTCTGCTATTGAAACAACAGCAATCTGGTTAGGCTTGGGCTATCATGCTGCCGACTTGAATCATGATGAAATCAAGCAGGTTTTAAAGGTACGCAGCTCACACATGGACTTCTTGAATCTTTCATTAATGGGCCTACAAGTATCTATTCACCGCAATTCTCCCCTACACAATAATCTTGACCTTCACCAAAATCTCCCTCTTGTTTCGCTACAAGAGACTCTTCCCAGGAAGGTATACACGTATGGCGATATGGTGTACATTAGTGCTCGTGATCGTATATGGGATCCAGTCTATTTTCGTTAGAGACTTTGCTTGCTCTCCGCTCTCAGATTTCTGGAATCTGAAGACTACCAGTGCAAATCACTGTACTGGCCACGGAACACTTTAGTTCTTCAACGCGGAGTTCAACATCCTTACCGATATCATGATCATTGCAATTCCGATACCAGTCATTTCATCGCTACGCCTATCACTCTCGCTCGATCCCACATGTGAGTCGCCAACGTGCGAATCAAAGCCGTTGGCAACCGTATTGCTAACAGTATAATAGATGATATAGCTAATGTTAGCATCTGGTCGGCTATTGAAGTAAACATGCATAATCTGCTCCTCATTCCCAACCATTCAACCCGTTCTGTCCCGCCTATCCCCGAAGTTCTTCGTAGTCAACTCAAACACATACGAAGCATCCATCCCTCCTCCAGTCAAGCTGTGGCGACTCGAAGACAATCTCCAGACAAGTCATATTATAGTTGTTGGGGCTGTGCGACCGCAATTTCGAAGCAGAGATAACTCTGTTGTGAATTTGGACGAGGAAAGTGGCAGAGGGAAAATATTCGTTACCACAAGTGTTGATCAGGATCTAGAGAGAGCTAGACTGAGTAGAAATGTTGGGAGCGAGAATACTTTGATACCCGTGAGGAGTTGATTTTTGGTGGAATTCTTTTCAACTCATTGAAAGTAGAACATCGGCAGGATGAAGGGAATATGCTTAATGCATTGAAATTAACAATGGCCGGTAGTACAATACGGCAAGACTCCCTCTTTGGTCACTTTAGAATGAAAGAGAAATAGAAACAGGGGTTCTCTGCATTTAGCACTAAGTGATAAAATAAATTCATTGCATTTTTAAACAATAAGTTGAATTCAAACTAGTGAAAGAAGCAGGGTCACTTATAATTTCCCATGCAGTGTTTCATGATCTTGGTCTCGAGTGAGTGCTCTGGTGAGGGTGGATAACCTGCTTTGTTTCATGGTGGGGGACGACATACATAAGTGATTCTCCTACAATCGGGCCGAGACCCAGCTTCATATATAATGTAAAATAAGCAGACCCGCTTCAACAAACAACCAGCGTTTGTGGTTTAGTGGTAAAATCCATCGTTGCCATAAAGCATTTCCAATGCAAGATCTGAGACTCGACCACTAGGCAGTTAGGATCGCAGCTTCGATGGGCCCCGGGTTCGATTCCCGGCGAACGCATATATACAAGACATTCATTTCTTTTTGCAATTTTTGAAGCTGGCGATGTTGAAGTAATTTTATATATAATTCTTCTGAATGTGGTTATGTTGAAGTTGAAGTTGAAGTTTTTGGCATATTGAGCTAAGCGAGAAAATTTGATAGCGGGGCCGCACTCCTCACTTCAAAGTGGATACAAGGCCCGAGAAATACTTTAGAGAGCTTTAAAATGTTCTGGAGGCTGTCTAAAGCAGTTGCAATTATTTCCCCCAATTTTTGTAGGGTTATATATTTGCATCCATTTCGCTCAGGTATGCTTCGCCGATATAGACAATAGTCACAACACTTCCAATATTCAAAACCTCATCGATTCCGGAAAGACATCTAATTGAAGATAGCGTATGCTCAGATTTTCTGTCTTCAGTACTTCATCAGAATGGGTGCATTGAATTCTTCGTAGCGCAAAGATTTTGCTAATTTCGAAAGTGGCTTCACCTCTCGATTTCATCTTCGACTCAAAAGCCAAACCGCCAAGTTTTGAGACGGCAATGCACTTAATTGAGCACATAACTTCATGTCCGAGGTACAAAAACCCCTTCTCGTTGCATATTTCTCGAAGTCATCAGCTTAGCGCCCTCGGCGTTAAATTACTTCAAAACTCTCTCCCAAAAGGGTATATCACGTGACGACTCCACTACATTTGCAACTATCAATGCAGAGAGCCTCTCAGAGGCTAGATTTCTTCGTTATTGAGGTTATCAAGATGTTTTCAAATGAAACGCTGCACACTGTGATACAGACTCGGGTCTGCTGATTTATTCTACGACCGATTAAGAAGATAGCTTGTGTGAGCTGTGTTACCTCTTAGACTTTGCACGACCGCTCCGAAGTCGTGGAATAATTCTCGAAGCTCATGTGTGATACGCCCAGTACAGATCCTACTTGAGGAGTTTGTATGCGGTTCACGTTTTTTGTTTAAAATCGTACTTTCAAGCTCGACCTCATTTCCTCACGAATGTCAATGATTCAATTTTCTTTCAACCCAAATTTAAATTATCCCTGCTCAACTTACTTTGCATTCCAAAGCTTGCACAATTTGTGTTTGTCCCTTGCAGAAGAGCACAGCATGAAACTTCTAATTCTATGGCACGTCTATGTCGGTACTGAATCAGGAAAGAATTTCCCGTTCTGGCTTGACATATCAATCTCGTATCTCCCCGCAATTGCTGAGTGCGAACGTGGCACAACTTCACAAGGTAGCCACAACGGTCGCGTGCCACTTTTCTCTGCCTTACATGCAGCCTTCCGAAGACACGTGAATGTGTGATGTAGAAAGCCGGCCTATTGAGGTTCGCTCCTCGATCGGCCAATTAAAATATCTTGGCCGATAGTTGTAGCCATACGCAACTTAAATACAATTTAGATATGTTTGCTCCTGGTAAATACAATGCAACATTATCTCGTTTGCTCTTAGAGTAGTACTTTGTATCAATTTTCCATTCACCGCAAATTCCCGTTGAATCTTGAGAAGTAACTTTTGAGAGGAGACGCCATGAGAGAGAAGTTTTGTTCCTCCTACAACTCTGTTTCTAAAGTCACCTCTAGCTGGACATTTTCAAGGGAACTCCGATTCATAATCAACTGCCTCTTTTCAAACCTTCCACAACCACACTATCGTCCCATCCTTTAGACCACAATGTATTTTGCCACAGCCGCCTTTTTACAAATGCTTCCTACGTTGATCTTAGCAGGAGGGTGGTACGACACTTGCACCAAGCAGTTGATCAATTTCAGTAACGATTGGATTCACTATGCCTACATCGATGCTTCCTGTACTACCGCCGGTGGGTCACAAACTACTGTATCTTTCTATGTGGAGTGCATCGTGAATTTCGATGGCCATTTATATGTAAGTCTATTTCATAGCACATATCCACATAAAAAAGTCCATAGCTGATGTATAATCATAGTGGCAAAAGTCTTGAGCAGATAATGATTCCTTACACATTTAAGAAAGTAAATAAAAGAATATGGTAGAGCTGATATTTCTTAGTGGCGACTTTATGCCAAGTTGCCATGATTGTAAACAGAGCGGGTCGGTTGTGACTTGTAATTGTCTTGATGCTGAACAGAATTATAGAGAGGTTTTAATCGATACAAGTGAGCGTTGTTAACCCCATGCCTAAGAGTGAAGCACTGATGCACATTATCACAGCCGAGGGGATCTCTAATCAAAATAGGGTATTAGCATGCGATGTGAGTTCATCTACTGGGAAGGTCTTCTTAAGTAGTTTACTGACTACGGTTTCTAGTAATACAAGGATGGTATTGAATATACTTTTTTCGTTGAAGGTGGCAATGAACCATCGAGTGATATTTGCTCTACAAGGTTCCGTTGCGTTTGAAGGCAAATATCCTAGTGCAAGATTACGGAGTTCTCCATACTTATGACTTTTGAACCCCCCTCCCCAACATGTTCAGCACATCATAAACCTGCAATATTCCTCAGAATCATCTCAACCAAATTCCTTTTGACTCATTTCACTTCTCTTTGGCACTTGCACTTCAAAAATGCGTCTCATCCCAACCGTCTTCTTGACTTCGATGTCCACCATTGCCCTTGCGGGGAACTTCTACCAAACTTGCGACTACGTGTCCGAGGTCAATCTATCGAATGTCTTTTTTGTGTTAATTGCCAAATATAAAGATGTCAATGGGAATTCTAATGATGCTTCCATTGACCTGAATGCTCTTGTTGCTAATATTCATGGGTTGGGGGTAAGCCTTATCTGCCAACATGAATCGTGCAGATTAACAATCAAGACTGACGTGTGGATTATAGGGGCAGAGAGAGTAAGTGCATTCGAGTTGAAATAATCAATGGATAACGAATCAACTGATGGGGTGCTGATAAGTTTTAGTGGAAATTTCATAGCTCGTTGTTTCGCCCCCGCCCGTGAAGTCAGAGAGAACTATCTCGCATGTTGCTGTGCTGGTTCAGGATATAGTTCGGTTGATCTCAGTATGTGATCCTGTGATTTTTGTAATTTTGGCGAGAGATAGCTAATGAAGGTAACACAGATGAGAGAATTTAAAACCAAAATGGGGTGTTAGCGTACGATGTGAGTCCCCTGTTGAAGTGTCCAAAACCATCTTTGGCAGTTTTCACTGACCGCCAGATCCAGTAACACGACACAACATGCAAGTCGTAACCGTTTTGTGTTGCCCTTACGAGCCGATTCTCCTTCTTATTTTAGAGGTCGCATAACGTCGATCGGCATCTTCCCTGCAAGATTCCGTGTGAGATGCAAGAAGGAATTCAGGTGGTAGGATATTTGCTCCGTAAGCTTGTACTTATGATAATATACCTGTCCATCGTATGATCTGCGAGCATAAAGAATCTTCTCTGCACATCAAGAACGCCTTCTGAACACAAAATAAAGTACTCTGCATATCAGTAATGAAGTTGTTCACATCAGCCCTCCTCCACCTCGCCCCTACCTTCGTACTAGCAGGAGGCTTCACCCGCTCTTGTTTCAATGCTGAAGTTTTCATCCCGTCGAACGTCAACTATGCCTCTGTAGATGCCAGCTGCTACACCGCCCATGGACAGATATTAATTACCGAAGTTGAACTGAATGATTGTATTGTCAATATATATGGCCGCTTAGAAGCAAGTATATAATTATTACTCTCAAACAGCTCATCATACTAACGGTCTTTGAATATAGTGGCGAAAGCAGTAAGTGATTAGATTCTTAATCAGGGGGAAAACGACGAAGAAGAAACCACTCTAACTGACATTTCTTAGTGGAAATTTCCTCTCTAGCTGCTATAACTGCCGTCACATTAGATTGACTCTCACTTGCACTTGTGATGGGAAGGAAGGGGAACGAACCTCAGAGGCTTCAATCAACTTGGGTGCGCATATTGCCAAGACCTATCAACTTATAGTAAGAAAGATGCTGATGCTCTTTCCTACAAACGATGGAATTACCAACCAAGACGGACATTTAGCGTGCGATGTAAGTTTCCTGTTCAATTCATCAAAAGTGTTATGGTATCTTACCTGACCGCCGGTTCCAGTGACACATTGAAGGCATACAAGCTAGTGGCTGCTCAAAGTAGGCACTTGAGGTGAAGTGTCTCTCTAATTGCAAGATTGGAGGGAAGATGCAGCATTACACGCTGAAAAATGGAGCCGGTATTTTGAAAGATTTTAATAAAAAATGTTACTCTTAAGCTCATATGCTGTTCAAGTCTCTTTCATCTAGGCACAAGAAACTTTTCAATCTTCTACAGTCTAGCTTCCTGCAACCCTTGGTTCTCAATTCTCCTTGCAACAAACTATTTCAACAATATATTTCCTCAGAACTGCCCTATTGTCTTTCATACATTCACTCGCCCTGGCAGGACGCTTCCCCGAAACCTGCGAAAGCCAGAGATCGGATTCTCCGGCAATCCCGTTTCCGCTCCAATGTTGACCAGCTGCTCGTCACTTGATGAGGGCATACAGTATACGAAAATCAATCTCAACGATGTCATCGCCAACCTCAATGGTATTTTGCGTGTAAGTTCCTCTAGAGTCTACCAGCAGACTTGATTACTGACATATTTCAATCATAGTGGCAAAACAAGTGAGTACATCCATATCAAGCGAAAACTTCAATCACAATCCAAGCTAGAGAGAGCTTTGGTGTTATGTATTAACACTTTAAAGTGGAAATTTCTTCTTTAGCTGCCATTCCTGCTGAATGTATGACCATGAGCGTAGATCTACACTCCTTTCGTGCCTCTGTGGTAATGGAAAGACTACTATTGACCTCAGTACATATCGCCTGGCCTGGTTAATTTTTGCTGTATATAGTACTGATATACATTAAAAGATGAGAGGCTTTCCATCAGGATGGATGGATATCGTTCGACGGCTAGATCAAAGTGAAAAGAGGTGGAGCTGGCGGGTAATAGAACAGATTGAAATAAACACTTCGCACTTCAGCACCGTCAAAATCGTTCTAAAC